CGCTCTGGCCTCCCTCACCTTTCCTACTGTCTCTTGCCCATTAACACTAATCACGTTCACCTGTTCCTCACTCCCTTATCACCAGCTGCACTTGATTAGGTTGCTCACTATATTACCGGGTTTCACTCCTCAGTCACTTGCCAGTTCGTTCTCATCTCTAGGCCATTTTTTCTCCGTGCTTTTTTCACTGTTTTGTATGTATTAATCCCCTAGCCAGCTACTGTTTTGTGTTTCCCCGATGGACTGTTCCTATGGACCGTGACTCCACTCTCTCCTCCCAGGCAGGTCAATACTCAGTCGCCTATCTGTTCCACTATTGCCTTCATCTCTCTGTCTCCACCTTCAGTAGCCACCATCACCACCGACCAGCCCAGGAGTGACCCAGCCTACGCAGCTCGGCCCAGCTCTCCATCTCCTCGCCTCCTGCGGTTGGTCAAACACCCGGTTACTACTCATCGACAGGACTACGCACTATTTCCCTCTGTGTATTGTTACTCCCTTCATCACTGTATATAATAAATCACTGCTTGTACCGAAGTCGGCTACCTGGGTCCGCCTCTTTCTCGTTCGCTCACTGACTGGTGCGAACGGTACCTAACACAGCACTGCTGCTGTACTGTACAACCCGCTGTATGAGCTCCCAAGGTGCACTTCTGACCTGCACCTGTAAGGTTTATGAACATAAGCCCACATAATGTTGTTGTCCCTTTGCAACATTCAGCATTTGAGAAGAATTGTTGTGTTGTTACGTTTTTTATTTTACTCAAAAAGTGGAAGCTACTGTAGTTACGTTAGCATTAGCCACAGGACGTCAGCTGGAACCCCAAATTCACATACCCGGAGAATATGAATGTAAGAGGCTTAAGACTACAATTAATCGGCTAATTAAAAAAAATATTAATGCTTTTTTTGTAATTTTGACCAGATAACTAAACAATCAAATTCAAACCACAAACATATACTGATTTCTGACAAGTTCATTGTAGTTATTGAATATGTAACTGCTGCTGCTGAACAGCAGCTTAGGGGACAATTTCAATGGTAAATGCTAAAACACAGTAGCACAAATAAAGGATGAGGCAGATAGCAAACTGATTTGTAACAGATAGTAAGGCTGTAGCTGTAGTTTGTAGTTTGCTAATTTTAGCAAACACTGACTACGCCATTTGTCATACTTTAGGCTGACAACACAATCCCTTCCTGTAGCCTATTCAACGGAGTAAAGTGTGGCTTTATGCTCATGAATTTAACTTTGTGCAGAAAAGGAAGGAGAGAGGGAGAAAACGCCCACCTACATCAGGGAAACCCCCCTAAACATTTTAATGGAAATCTACTGGGGCGCGTTTTTTTATTATTATTTGTGTTATAGAATGAGCGCGTGCTCGGAGGGGTGACTAGATTCAGGGAAATGGCTCTGTGTGTGCGCATGCGAATAAGTGTGCGTGCGCGCAGTGCACTGCTGAATCGCTAAAGAAGCAATGTAGTCAAATGAAATTACTCTGGCTGTCAGTGTGCGTCTAAATGCTTCAAGTCACTCAAAGAACGTACTGGAAGCAAATGTGAGACTGTGCTTTTCACTCCAACCTAATTAACCAGTTGTAATTACATAAAAGCCTGGTAGAAAACAGGGGATGGCGGTCATAAAAATCTCACAGCAGGTCGAAATATATTCCAATAAAAGTATGGTTTAATAAGGCCTTTCAGGGACGCTTTGTGACCCCAAGACGTAGTCACACTGTAAATAACTAGGAACATTAAAAGCATCTGGCCTGTAGTGATTTTTCATTGGGAATGTGACAAAGTCAAATCTCTGGATTTAGTGATTACAATGCAAACAGACGCGCTTGGTAAGGTATAGGGCAGGCAAATAGCATGTAGGGATAAAATGTGTTGAGAGACAAACTATTTTCTGCAGTGTGAGGGCAGCAGGGAGGATCTGTGGCTTAGAGCCACCACGGAGCTGCTGGAGGAGATGCATTCTTTATTCTTAGGAAGAGGGATGGGAGGGGTGTGTGTGTGTGTGTGTGAGAGAGAGAGAGAGAAAGAGAGAGAGAGAGAGAGAGGACAGGGAGAGAGAGAGCTGAGCAGAGCACACACGTCGCACTATCAACTAGATCCATCTACGAAACAATTCGCAGGGAGAACGGGTCTGAGCTGCGTAGACACTAAAGGCAAGTTTGAGTTCCCCACTGAACAGTGCACCGGCGGCCACAGCTGGCCGTCATGGACCCGGGCAGATCAGGCTGCGGACACCTCGATGAGTGCGTCCTCACCGTTTGGGCAGAGTGTGGAAGGGGAGAAGTGGGCGCTGCGATCATCCTGCCGCCGCTTTCTTCGCTCCCCATGCGCAGCAGACGGTGCTGAGTTAAAGCGGAGGAGCTGCGTAGTGAAGCGCCCGGGAGCTGGAAAACTAAAAAGTGCGTACAGCGGTGTGGACGGACGCGCAGCCACAACCGGCGGGGGCGACCCATGCAGGCAAATATGCTGTTCCGTAGACTCACCGGATTCACGCTGCTGATCCGAACCGACTCACACCAGTGTTACCAAACGGACCTTTACGCACGGTCATACAGCAGGACCGCATGAAGGACAGCTGCTCAAAGAAAGGGGGAAAGTTGAACGCGGTAGTGGGGGTTTTAATGGACAAAGGCTCGCCAAAGGTACAGTGATGTTCCTCAATAACCCAGGACATAGTTGGAAGGACATGTAGAGGAAAATGTTCATGTTTCAGGCTAAGAAATAATATACAATTTATGGACTTGAATTTAACCAAGCCTCTATAAACAGATCCACAAATGTTTTTTATCTGTGTGACACACAGCTCTAGGCATGGTGTAAGCACACTGGCATTAATTCACCAATTCCCAGTGACTTTTAAAGATTAACTAAAACTGTTGGCCAAATTATTTGTAAGTTAATTAGATATTTCATCGAGTCAAAAATTGGGCTACTGCACTACAAAGCGCACCGCTCCACATTTTACACCCCGGGGAAAACCTGACTTTTTAAAGAGGGGCTTTCACTTCTCAATGCACAGCACGGTTTTCAATCCCCCCTTTGAAATAATTCATCCAAATGAACACCGCTCACTGGGCAGGCTTTGAAGTATACCTGATCCGCCTCTTATCGCCTCTTAAATACCCCGTTCATTTTAAACTTTTAATTGCGTTTCTGTCGCTAAATCCAGTTCTAATCGGATTGGCTTGGCCACATAACACAGCGATCATCTGGTGGTGAGAAACTGTGCTCCCTTGCCTGAAAATGAAATAAAAATCAAGAAAAAAGTGTTCTTCATCACTTTCCCTCCTTGATCTCTCCATCTCTTCAGTTGATCCGGTTTGGTTTTGATATCATGCACCTTTTAAATGTCAATACTTGGGTTTTTAGTAACATTTTGGTTGTTGCTGCCTTCTGCTGTTGATTGTGATGCTGTGATAGCACATTTTATCTTTCAATTTAGAAAAGTAGATCAAAGATGTGTGTCAGAGGGTTGTTTCTCCATCTCTGCCACAAAGAGCTCACACGGGCTCCATCTTGCCAGCAAACAACGCAGGGATTCTTAAGAAACAGGGCTAGGTAAATACAATTTTCCCATTTTAGTATTTTTTTATAGGACTTCCAGACATTACAGATCTGTAATTTAGTTCCACAGATCGACCAAAAACAGCATACATTCTAATGACTGTTGAATTATGTGGCTGGCTGGCTGCTCCTGTTCCTTGACAAACCCTGCAGAACACCTTAACCCACACTCATGGCCGTTTCTGTACTTAACATTCAACCCACCATTCCTATTATTGTCATGTTATTGTCTTCTAACACTGACTCAGGGAGGAGCTTCAGTTAAGCTGCAAGGTAACCGATAATAACCAGTACCTTTGAGTCATGTTGGGGAAAAGGAGGAAAAAATGTTGGACGAATCATAAAAGTTGGAATAATAGATCTGGGGGAGCTATTGTAAGTCAGTGGGCTTGTGCTTTACTACAAGTCTGCTGAAAAATAGCCTGTATTGATCATTTATTGCAGGCTGAAGGACTAAATTATTTTCCATTCCCATATAATTGACAGCCTGTGTACTGTATGTCCCTCTAGAGAGAGGAGGAGCTGATATGCAGAATCTCAATTCATTTACTGCCTCTCCTTTGTAATTCTATTCCTCAGAGCTTTTAATCTTGAGTCTGATGGTGGCATTCGGGCCAACATGTAATAACGAGCTCATCCTTTGGCCACCAGCAAAATAATCAGCCCTGTTTATTGTAACAACATGTTTACTAGTGTACCTTTGCCTAACTTGCCTGCTCAAGCAGATGAAAAAAACAAGACAATTGTGAAGATGATTTTTTCCCCCGTTTTGTTTTTTCCAGGGAATATCTTGTTGGTGCCCCAAGAGCTGATGTCTTTATTATCTTTATTTGCATGTTTTCCATTAAGCAACATTGATGTTGCTCAGAACCTCTGTGAATGCATTAGTGTGTGTCCTTGCACTGCTCTATTCCCTCCTTTGATAGAGCGGAAGGGATAAAAGCCTGCTTTATGTCTGTGAAACCGGATGTGCATGAGCTGTTCTGAATATTTATCAGATGGTTTGACTCTTTTTTAAATAGCTGGCGCATAATTTGACATCAGCAGTGAACGATTTGTTTTGTTTTCTGTCTTTCTGTTTGGGAGAGAAGGAAAGGGTGAGAGGGAAGGAGACAGTTGGTATGTGTGTACATATTTGTATGTCAAATAAAGAGACCGAGGAAGGAATGGAAAAGAGAGGCCCTTTCTCTGAGAGTAGGCCACCCCTGAAAATTCTAATCTAACATTTCTTTGTTTTTCCACAGGTCTCTGGATCCAAATGTCACCCCCCTTGGACTCTGCCCCGTTTGGGGACCATCAATGTGTGACGGACAGGCGAGTGGAGCCTGCGGTGGCTCTCTACTGTGTGGCTTCAAATTGGCCCTGGCTGAGCTCTGTATGGAGTGACGAATGAAGAGTCCTGCTTTGGTCTGATGTCTCAGCATGGATGGAGTCAGTCAGAGGACTGGCCACCACTAATGAGGCTATCGCTCTTCAGCTGAGGACGAGCATTTTCAGGATTACACCCACAGTTTCCTGCTCTTTTCCCACCTAACTGCATCATTACCAAACGATAGGTGGACTTTTCGTGGGTTTGGTTTTTGGTGGATATATATTGACTTTCTGATTTATTCCCTCCCAGTTCTTTTTATTGTTGGTTTCCCTTTTCCCTTTTTGTTTTTCCACTATGGAGTTTCTGGCTGGACCCTGGAATAGAGATTGGGCTTCATTCTTGCAGTTTATGTTGACTGTCATCCTAAGCCTCCAAATGCAATTCAGACCTGGTGCCTCTTGCCCGGCAGAGTGTCGTTGTGACAAATCGTTTGTGTACTGCAACGAACGCAGCCTGACATCAGTGCCTCTGGGGATACAGGGGGGCTACAAGGTCCTGTACCTACATAACAACCAGATCAACAATGCTGGCTTCCCTGTGGAATTTCACAATCTGGCCTCTGTGGAGATGGTTTATCTGTATGGCAACCAGCTGGACGAATTCCCCATTAATCTGCCAAAAAACACTAGGGTCCTGCATCTCCAGGAGAACAATATCCAAACAATCTCCAAGGCAGCCCTGGCCCAGCTGACTCAATTAGAGGAGCTGCATCTCGATGATAACTCCATCTCCACAGTGGGGGTGGAAGAAGGGGCCTTTAGAGAGGCATTAAGCCTCAAACTCCTCTTCCTTACCAAGAACCACTTGAGCAGCGTTCCCATTGGCCTTCCTGAAGACCTGAAGGAGCTGCGGTTAGATGAGAACCGCATTGCTGTCATTGCAGAAGAGGCCTTCCAGAATGTGACACGCCTGCAGCGCCTCCTGCTGGACGGAAACCTGCTGACGGATGAGGGCATTGCTCCCGGGACCTTCCGGGACCTCGTCAATCTTCGTGAGCTGGCTCTCGCCCGCAATTCACTGACCTTTCCCCCACCTCTCCTACCTAGCCAGTCACTGGTTAAACTCAGCTTACAGGAGAACCAGATTGACCAGATCCCTGTGGCAGCCTTCACTGGCCTAAATAGGCTGGAAAAACTAGATATCTCCAGCAACCAACTTCAGACTCTAACACAGGGTGTGTTTGATAGCTTGTCGAGCCTAAAGCATCTCATTGTGCGTAATAACCCCTGGCGCTGTGACTGTGCAGTGAAATGGGTGGTGGTGTGGCTCAAGTCACTACCTTCCTCAATTAACGCCCGAGGGTTTGTGTGCCTAAGTCCAGACAAGGTGCGTGGCATGATGATCAGAGAGCTCACACTGGATATTATTGACTGCCCTGTCGATACTGACCAGCCGCCTTGGCCCACCCTCCGCTCCACACCCCCTCCTCCACCCACCACCCCTCCTGTCACCACCATGATATCCAACCTCATCACCACATCCACCCCCTACTACTTTGACTCGCCCTCCCCTCCCCTACCCCCGATCCATAACAACCCTCCTGGGCCCCTGCCTCCTTATGAGGATCCCCTACAGATCTCCTTCAATGTGGTCAACTCCACTAGTATTGAGGTGAGCTGGGATTCCTATTTCACTGTCAAAGCCTACAAGATCACATGGGTGAAAAGGGGCCAAAGCCAAATCAACCAAGGAATGCGTGAGCGAACAGTGAGTGGGGGTCTGCGGCAAATCAGCCTCACCAACCTGGAGCCCCGGTCTGTGTATCGGATCTGTGTGCACATGCTGGACACCCTTAACTCCTACAGGCCTGGAGAGGATACTATATGTTCTGAGGCTAGGACCAAGTCTGCCTTGTCTACTAAGCCTCCTGGCAGAGACCAAGGTCCTCAGGAGAGCATCAACTCCACACTGCTAATGGCTGGGATCATAGGTGGGGTGGTTCTTATCATCCTGGTAACTCTACTCAGTTTGTTCTGCTGGCACATGCACAGGAAGAGCCGGTCATCTTCGACCAAGTGGAAATACAACCGAGGCAGGAGAAAAGATGACTATTGCGAGGCTGGAACCAAGAAGGATAACTCCATTCTGGAGATGACTGAGACCAGTTTCCAGATAGTGGCGCTGAACAATGAGCAGCTGCTCAAGGGAGATTTCCGCATTCAACCCATCTACACACCCAATGGGGGCATTGGATTTAGAGACTGTCACCTCAGTAATAACAGTATAGCCTACTGCAAGAGCAGCAATGTGCCCAGTACAGATTTCAGTCACACGTGATGCAGCAGCAACTAGTACAGTTGCACACACAAACACACACATACAAGAAACATTTAATAAATGCATAAATACATACACATACACTGTTTGTGTAGGCAACCATAAACATAAAAATTCTAGTGAAATATACCTGTACTATATATATTTCCAAGTTCTGTCTAAGGTGTAATTTATACTGTGGATAATGTGGGATTCTCTGCTATCTTTTTTATTCTTAGAAAAAGAGATACAAGTGTTTCTTTGTTTTATAACCAGCAGGGTTTGAGTTGTTTTAATGGTCAGTACTGTACACGAACATGGATTTGTACAATCACGGCACCTTGGGTGTAGCTTCTGATGAACGCTGTCAGCCTTGGAAACATTGAGGCGTTTAGAGGGCTGGGATCCTTTGCTAACCACAGAAGCAAAATATGGCCTTTTTGCGCTTTGACACGCTGCAAACCCTCCCCAGTACAACAGAACAGTAGTAAAGGCAACATAGCACAGGGCAAATCCAAACACTGCTGATGAGAGCGCTGTGAAAATGTAGCACTGGTTCGTTGGTGGCATGGTGTAAAAAACAATTGAAGTGCACTTTCTTCTTAATGGGAGCACAGCAAGAAATGAGCAGTGTTGTCGATCACATGTAAAGGATTGTTGTGTCATTGGTGCTTTTGGAAAGCCTGGACTGAGATTTCCCAAAAGTGCTTTAACACTAAAAGCATCTTTGTTCTATTGATTTACAGTAGAACAAAAGTGGGCTTAGTCTAGAGACACTTTTGGAGAACTCTGTCTTTTCTAGCACGTTTTTTTGTTTTTGTTTTTGGTGATTATTAGCATGAGTTTAAAAAGCAACAAAGGGTCATTTTCCCTAATTAGGTGCATGGATGTGGTGAGACACGGAGCTCCTTTTGAAGAAATTCCCTTTGTTCTGCTTCTTTTTTTTCTTTGTTTTGACAAGTGAGACCACAAGGGGGCAGTTACCCTCAGTGTCATGTGTGGGACAGGAATAGAGGACAAAACAGACAGGAGAGATCACTTTTCCTCCACCATTCCTCTGGAGTCCATTACCCAGATGACATTACTCATTCCCAAACAGCATTGTTTAGAGTATTATTGCTCATCTAGCTACTCAGTGATGTGGACTCATTTAAAACTAACAGTGTTTTCTGTGTTTGGCAGCTAAATTATATGGATTTTCACCACTGTCCTCTATCACGAGGGAAGGCCTTTGACTGTGTGTGTGTTTGGAGACACACACATAATGCTAATTATACACCCACTTATTTTAGCCTTGTCCCAGCATTCATTAGGATTTTTGGATAAATTAAGAAATTACAACAATGAGTTCGCACTCCGCCCATGATCCTCACAGTGCACAGTTGTGACTGAGCAGCTCATATAGTGCCTCATCATTTATCCTTTCGTACCCATTTACAGTATGAGGCAGCCTATTTTATTTACGATTTGCTCACCTGAACAGTGCAGCTGCTCACTTCACAATACTAGTATCTAAAATGATGATGCTCACCCAGTCCACCCTGATTTTCTGTCTTTTATTCCTGTCTGCTGTCTCACTGTCTGTCTCTACACCTCTGATCGCTGCATGGGCTCAATTAAAACAGTTTCCCTACCCTTCAGCTCACGGGCTGTGGTGGCAGCTCTCTGCATGTGAGGTGCCAGCGAGAGGTCTTCATTATGCACTTCTTCAGAAGACTTGATTTGATTTGACAAGATTTTATTTTGAGGGGCCAAGCTTAAAGAATTCCCAGCACCGACCCGTCTGCTGCCTCTCTTTCTTTTCCTCCTCTTCTCATAATCCCCGACCAAAAAGGGGAGAAAAATATGTAGACCTTATTTTCACTTGGCTGCATGGAGCTCACACTGGGACAGAGAGTGTGTTAACTCTTTGTGAGACACGGAGATTCAGCTGCAAGAACAAACACAGTAGAGAATTAACACAATCTAGGCCAAATGTTTGGAGTAAAATGACTTTTTAAGGGCTTGTACTCGAGTTATTCCAGAGTGTTGTGATCTTGAAATTCCAGCAATAGCTCATATGGACTTTAAGTTAAGGTGATGCATTCATGTCCCTGCATTTAAAATCTGTTTAACAAACATAACATTCTGAACATTAACAAACAGGAATGAATTAAATAATCTGTCTTAACATGCCATTTAGTGTGATATTATGTCTTAAAAATCTTGTTTACAATGAGAAAACAGACACATTTTTCACTTATATGTCAAGTTTATTTTTAATGCAAATAGCAATGTGTTGAAAAAATATTATTGAGAGACCATCATTTTGAGAAATCATTTATTTCACTTTAGATGAGAAAAGTGATACCACACACACCTCTATGCTAAATATGAAGCAGCTGCTAGCAGCCAGTTAGCTTAACTTAGCAAAGCAACTAGCTTGGCTCTTTCCAAGGGTATGAAATTATCAATTGTAGATTTTTTTTGTACAAATAAGACAAACAATATATATTGTGTTAATATGTAAGCTTTACAAATGCTTAGGTGTATTTTGTTATTTTGGACAGAGTAGCCTTACTACCATTTTTGGTCTTTAGGCTAAGCTAAGGTAATTGAATCCTGGTTTACAGCTTCGCATTTACCATAGAGATATAAGATTGGTATCAATATTTGCATACCTCTTGGCAATAAATGCAAAATGTCAAACTGAGCCTTTAAGTGAAAAGAAAAAGTAAAAGAACTTGATTTGAATTGGAATGATCGCATTCCCCTGACAAATGATGTAAGACTAAATACTTTAATACATGACTTGTCTAGATGGATTTTTTATGTTGGGTTTATTATTATGGCGCTCTTCTGTGGTTATCAAAGCATTTCCAATTTTTATTTTACTACTTTTCTACTAATATCCACATCGGCACACCTAATACGCAGATGCACCAGGCTGCCCTGACCCACGCTTTGATCTATCTTGCTTAAAAATCATGAAGCCTAACCTACTGACAGTTCACATATGGCTTTCCA